GTTTAATGTAATGATAACTGTAGTGATAAGCACACGTTGTTCATCACAATTTGTACATAAATTACAACATAAAATATAAAATTGTATAAAAATTATTTTTTGAAACTTAAAAACTTTGTTTTGTTTTTTGTTTAATTGCATAATTTAGTTTTTTGAGTGCATTTTCCTTACAAAAACCGTTGAGATCACACCCTAGATTATAATATACTATACCACTAATATCCAAAATAACACTAATAACTGGTATAAATTGACGTTTGAAATAAATGACAGTGATTATGATTATATAGTATTTTTAAAATAATAGATTTGGGACTATTTGTAAGTATTTATATTAGGAGAAACGAAAAATTATGCGAGAATTTTTGATAAACTATTTTAAAATTAAATTTTAAGTAAAACTTTAAATACTTTCTACAAAAATAGATTTGTATAATGAAAACACAATATTTTGTCTTTAATTTACTGTCAAAACCAATTTTCTGTCAATTGCCATTCATGGCCACCAATGCTTCAAACAAAGTACACATTAGAAAATATTATGTGCAAAATTTTTATATCGTTGTGTATTTGCCACGGCTGTTGCCCGGAAAATACAAACAATATATGATTATAATTGTTGTATTGAATATTAACGATTAGGGTAGTTAAAAATCTCCCGCGACCATGACCTTAGCTCTGGTGCCCAACTTAAGGTGGTCACCCGTCGGTAGTGATCAAATTTTTTTAAGACACAAATCCAAAACAATTGGAGTGATAATATATATTGACAGTAGGGGTGCAGTGAATAGAATAGTTGGGATCACTTAAATGCTATTGGGAAGAGGTAGAGATCAGGAAAATGGATTTTAAGGCAATTTTAGTTATTAAAAATATTGCATCTTTAAATATAAAACTTGACAGAAAAATAATTACAACAGATATGAAGTCCATACTCACTGCGCCCCCAACCCATACATATACTCTCCAGATTCCCGTCGGTTCCGATCACTTCCAAGGCCTGTGAGAGGAACGGCATTAAATAATAAGGACCCTGTCAAATAATGGGTGTCCCTATTCTTTACGTTAAAATAAAGCTATCTCTATATGGAAACAATTAAAAAATTTATCACAAGAAGACAAATAATTGACCATCATTATAGAGTTTAGACCGATGATTAAAGTTTATTGTGTTAATAATAAATTAAGTTTTAATTTCATGTCAAATTATCGCATAACTTTTCGTGTGCCCTGATATTAGAAAAGCATAGAATGTATATATAGGCACTTTGTTGGTCAGCAACAAGAACTTACAAGTGCCATGAAAGTGAGGGGGCCGATCTATCATATAAACCACATTATTCATAGCTGAATTGTGGTTAAAAATACAATTAAATGATAAACATGATTATTTACCTTAAATTTTAAAAATATTATTTTATTAAAGTCTTATATAATCTTTCATTAGTTGGTAATAGTTTTGATGAAATAATAATAAAAAATATTCTCTGGGATTTAACAATTAATAAATAATTAATATGATTTATAAAAAATAATAAAATACTTATTTGATCAATATTTAATTATCAACTCTTATTTAATTAGAAATTTTTGTTATTATTAATGCAATAATTTATTAACTTTTACGTTTACAATACATTATGTATAACTTATACAGATATAAGAATAATAGCCGTATTCAAAGACGTAAAATAGAGCACCAACTCATGCTCTATGTCTAGAAAAGTTTCAATTCTCATTCATAGACAACAACTCCAAGAGTTGGAACTCCTAATAATTAAATCCCATATTTATCAGACTCTACGCTGAAAAGTTGACATGAAATTAAAACTTAATTTATTATTAACACAATAAACTTTAATCATCGGTCTAAACTCTTTTCAATGGTGTCGTTCTCGAAGATACTGATGAACTGTTCGCACCGTAGCCTCTGTTTAGGTGTCATCAGCTCTGCCTCCACCAGGGTTCAGGACTCACGCACTGATGTCATAGTTTATAAACTTAAGCCAATAGCAAATGCGTTTACAATGTGCGCAACAATAGAGATCCAACTTTTAACATTTTATTTATGAATACAAAATAAAGTCTAAGTTCCAACTCAATCTCTAAACCAGTTTTTAAGAGTTCCAACTCAAACTCAAACTCAATTTTGTCTTTGAATACGAGTATAAGTGTCTAAATGCATTCATATAAGTGAATAATAATATGAATATGATAAAAATGTATCAGTGAGAAAATATTAACAAAATAACAAATGTTTAGATAAAACTTCTGATAACCCATACAATTACGCAAATAAAAATACAAAATATATAAGCATGCACAAACACACATACAACATATAAAGTTATTTTTCTGCTTGATCAATTAAGAGTAGAGAAATACAACCATGAAGTTATCGGTGATATTCCTGATAACTGGGTCTATACTCCTGGTGGAGGCAGAGCTGATGACACCTAAACAGAGGCTACGGTGCGAACAGTTCATCAGTATCTTCGAGAACGACACCATTGAAATCCAATACGCGTTTGTGATGGACGTTCACGACGGCCGGGGCTATACGTGCGGTAAGTTTGGCTTCACTACCTGTACGGGCGATGCCTACGATCTGATTAAGAAATATACGGCCAAAAAGCCGGCCAACCCTTTGGCCCCATTCCTGCCTGAGTTGGTACGACTCGCGCGTGAGTTCAGTAACGATACGTCAGGTTTGGGCGGATATCCCGAGGCGTGGAAAACGGCCGCAAAAGACCAGTTGTTTAGAGACACTCAGGACGAGGTCAGCGCCGGTATGTCCTACTAGTAAGTGGTTTGATGTTATAATAAATTATATATTATTATGATATTTATTTTACAATACATAGTAATTAGTTTTGATAAGCACAGATAGATAAATTAAACAAATTATTATTTAACAATGAACAAGTTATTGTCTAATTTATCAATTATGCACATTTTTATTTATTCAAAATATAAATTTAAATTTTACTTAAAAGATTTTATAAAAAATGTCAAACTTTTACCCTTATTTATATATAATTTATTAAAATTTTTTAAATAATTTAAACATTAAAATATGATTTATATAACTATAAAAATATTTTAACTGTTATGAATTGATAAGATTTCCAATTATTTGAACAATAGTTTATGTTAAATAAATGTGCATATTAGATATAACTTTTTTTACAGTTTTTTTAAATTTTCATCATCACTAAATAATCAATTAACATTATACAAATTTGAAAATATGTTATATATTGTTAACATATCATAAACTCAATGAATTTAATTATTTTTTAATTTATATAACAAGAGAATAAATATGAAATTTTTGTACAGTCTTTTATTTTGCAAACCCACAAAAATTATATAAAAATTTATAATTCACATTTAACAACATAGTGATTCCATTACCCATTGAGAATACTAAACTAAATGCTTAAAATACAGTATTAATTATACACATAATATGTTACAGTCCGGCCATAAAATACGCGGAAAGGGCGGGCATTAAAACAGCGATGGGCAAGTGTGCGATATATGACTGCATAATTGAGCATGGTAACAACGATGACGGCGACTCATTGGGCGCCATATTTAACCGCACGTGGGATAAGGAAAAGGGAGGCGTAAAGAGTGCGGCGACCGAACAGTATTGGATCCGCTCTTTCCTGAACATGCGTTTAGACGACTTCGACAATCCCAGGGAACCCATCAATATTGAACACCACACCTTCTGGCACGACATGTCTGTCCAACGTGTATACGCTATGATCACCTTGCTCAATGAGTATAATATGGATCTAGATGGACCCATTCATATTAAGACTAAAGATCATGATAAAACAATTCCATAAGTGTTGGTTAATTATTAATAGTTCAAGTATATTGTTGTAAAATTTAAAATACAAATAAAATATTTTTCAAAGTTTATTTAAGTTGTTTTCTCTTAATTTATTTTACATTTATTTTGTATTTTTTATTTGTTGTAAATTGTTAGTTAGTTTGTTAAGGTATGTGGTTTTTTGATCTCGATAAGCAAATATTTTCTTAAAAATAATTACCAGGATTTGGTAGTTTTTTAATCAATACAATAACAATTTTCTCTATTTTTATCACTTTATTAATTTATAAAATTACATGTATAGTAATCAGTGATTACTAATCACACAATACATCACACAATAGTAAATGTACCTTAATGAAATGAACCTATTTAATAATAAGTTTGATAATACATTAAATAGTATTTTGTTAAACATGCTGAAAATGGCAATTTTTGTAGATTAATAAAACAAATTATTAGTATCACATTTAGTACAAGTGTTCTTAATGGGCAACTTTTGTACAGTTAATCAAACATTAATTTACTGATAAGCATAATTAGTAAACTAGATAACTATGTGATAAATTCATCAAAACACCATATGTCGATCAGCTTAATTCTTAATCCAAATTATTAGACAAAAACATTAAGCAACAAAAAACATACTACGTTAGTGACAAATTAACCATGAAGTTATCCATAGCATTCTTGGTGGCCGGGGCTGTACTCCTGGTGGAGGCCGAGCTAATGACACCGCAACAGAGGTTACGGTGCGAACAGTTTATCAGTTTCTTTGAGAACGAAACCATTGATATACAGTATGACTACGTGGAGGATATGCACGACGGCCGGGGCTATACGTGCGGTAAGTTTGGCTTCACTACCTGTACGGGCGATGCGTTGGATTTGATTCAGAAATATACGGCCAAAAAGCCGGCAAACCCTTTGGCCCCATTCCTGCCTGAGTTGGTACGACTCGCCCGTGAGTTCAGTAACGATACGTCAGGTTTGGGCGGTTATCCCGAGGCGTGGAAAACGGCCGCAAAGGACCAGTTGTTTAGAGACACTCAGGACGAGGTCAGCGCCGGTATGTCCTACTAGTAAGTGGTTTACATATTTGTTTTATTACAATTTAAATAAGTTGTTTGATAAATAAACAAGCTTCTTTTTAATCTTGCCATTATTTAATCTAATTAATCTTACTAATGACATGGTTATATTTTTAAATAAAAAATATGCATAAAACTATTACATGTGTATGTATAATTGGTTTGCCATCGTCAATTTAAATTCTATCTACTAGTTTAATTATTATACGATTGTTTGTAAATTATGTTAACAGTTTTTATTAAATTATTTATATATGTTTATTTTGTGATTTTTGGGTGTAGTTGAACTTTTTCTACATTTAACAATAATTGTATCTTTAATAAGTAAAGTGATATAAATTTAACAAAAATCATATGTCTTACGTGTCAAGCCCATTTAATAATATTTACTTTTTAATTTTAAATAGTTAATTTTAGAAAATATATAATTCCAGCTTTTGTTAATAGTTTTACGACAGTTTTTATTAATTAGTTTATTGTTTGCTAAACTTAAAAACAATACATCAAGATCATATTGAATAATTATTAAAACTATTAAATTATTATCAAAAACAATTTAATGATATTCAATTTAACAATTGTTAAGTTAAAAATGTATTATAGAATTTAATCGCCTGCTAGTTAAACTACATAATTTAAAATTAAGTGTCGATAAATCCTTGCCAATTTGTTAGTTTATGCGATGGTTTATTTATTACACTTTTGAGTGTAATTTACATTTACAGTTTTTACTAAATTTTTAAATTGCGTAAAATTTTATAGTTGTTTTAGGATAATTTATTTTATTTAATATTTAAATAAATAAGCATTTCATTATATACAGCATACATACAACATGTATTTTGTTTATATAATTATACATTGTATTACCACGACAGTTTAGTGAAATAAGTTTAATAAAAAAAAATCTCTATTAAATTAATTTATAAATTAAATAAATATTAGAAGTTTAAAAAGTTAATATAAAATAAAATTACTTAAATAGCAATTTGTTTAATAAGTTTTTCCATTGATAAAAAGAATAAACTTTAAATAAATATCATATTTATTGTTAACTAAATATTTACAGTTATCACTAGTATAAAAATTAATAAAATATTTAATTATTATATTGACCAACGCAATACACTAATGTGCCATGTGAATATTAAACTAAATGCCTAAAATACTATACAAATTACACAAAAAAATATGTTACAGTCCAGCAATAAAATACGCGGAAAGGGCGGGCATTAAGACAGCGATGGGCAAGTGTGCGATATATGACTGCATAATTGAGCATGGTAACAACGATGACGGCGACTCATTGGGCGCCATATTTAACCGCACGTGGGATAAGGAGAAGGGAGGGGTGAAGAGTGCGGCCACAGAACAGTATTGGATCCGCTCTTTCCTGAACATGCGTTTAGACGACTTCGACAATCCCAGGGAACCCATCAATATTGAACACCACACCTATTGGCACGATATGTCTGTACAGCGTGTGTACGCTATGATCACAATTCTTAATGAGTATAATATGAATTTGGATGGTCCAATTTATATTAAAACTCAAGATCATCATGGTACTATACCGTAATTAAATGCTTGTTTTTATGGATATTGCTTATTGGGAAATTAAGTAATTTCTATTTAATTCTATATATTGTAATTAATCCAATTTTGAATAATAAAATTGTTTAATAAAATAATTGTGAATTTTTAATACGCTTTATATAGAAAATATAATATTTTTGTCACAAGTATGCAAGGTTGTAAATTACATATAAATTTTGATTACATTTTAAATTCTATTTAGATAAAAATCTATATTGTTTTAATTAATTATGTTCTTTGAATGTTATGAAACATACATTTCACTACTAATACTTTATACTATTATAATTTATATTAATCTTTTATATATTAGTCAACTTCGTTAGTTATTTCACCTTGTCATTTGCAGTGTTTATTAATTTAAAATTATTAATCTCTTCACTTCCGTTAGGTTTTTAATCTATTTCTATATATTTGTTATTAATAAATGTAAATTACATTTACAGCTTTTACTTAAAATTTAAGTTATAATAATAATAATTATACAAAACATCTCTCTCTAAACAGATTGATGAATTCACATAGAAATTCAACATTAAACATTGATTAAAGTTGTTTTTTAATAAAAATAATCT